GCAAGTTGATGGTTTTTCTGGCTTTGTGGATTTTGCCTTGTACTGGAATTGACAGTACTTGCAAGACTTGAAGTACAAAAATTTCGCCTCATATGCTCTGAAAATGCATAAAAAGGAGTCTGATTTTTAAAAAATTTCTGGGGGAGGCCCCCCCGACCCCCCACCGCTTCAGTTGCCCATAACAAAATTTCAAAGTGCCCTTTCCCACCTGCACCCCCCCCCCCTAGACAAAATCCTGCATCCGCCCCTGTAGTGGCAAATGTATGAAGTCATTTCCTGGAAGAAATGTAAAGCTATTTATAGGGCTGATTATACAATTAATATATGTGATGTTTCTAATGTACACCTATGCACAAATTCAAATTTTCTGCCATCATGCTGCCAAATGTAATTGTAGAGGATGTGGTGTACACTGTCAACCACAGAATACAATGACCGAAAATTCTCTTAGCTCTCTATTACTACTAGAGGGGTAACGATATGTAATGATGGTAATGTCACGTATCGTGAATGCGAACAAGCCAGCTTGCTTTCATAGGATAAAGTTATTTTATTTCAAGCACAGTACAGAGACAATCGTATTCGATTGAGTGACCACCTGTACAGTAAATTACGTCATTCTGGAATGCTTCAAAGTTTCGGTGTTTGGGTCCGGGTGTTTTGGGCTCTTGGGGTATATTCTCTATATAATATTATAATAATCATAATGTACCCGAGGTAGTTTTATGTTGTTTAGACTATTATGTTTATATTTTTATATGAGGTATGTTTAGGGTTAGCTCTAGTACTATAGCCCGCGTACAGTTGCCGCAGGCTGCCTGCAGGCGTGCGGCAACTGTACGCGGGATATAGTACTAGAGCTAGTTTAGGGTTAGGGTACACTTCTGTAGTACAAGTCTGGTACACTTTGTGTATACATATATATACCTCGGGTACATATATATGTAAGCTACGTCTACACGACGAACCTTAACTCGAGTTAAGGCCCGTGTAGACGCTTAACTCGAGTTAAGGCCCGTGTAGACGCTTAACTCGAGTTAAGGCCCGTGTAGACGCTTAACTCGAGTTAGCTTAACCTCCACGATAGGCGGCAGCACTAGTACGATGTACGTACACACGCACGCACGCACGCGTACGTCCACACGCACGCACGCACACACTCACGCATGCACGCACGTTTACACACGCACACACTCACGCATGCATAATAAATCGGTAATAATCGCTATCGGGTGTTGTCGTGTAGACGCTACATAATCGCTAACTCGAGTTAACGCTTAACTCGAGTTAAGGTTCGTCGTGTAGACGAGACTGTAGTACCTGATACGACAACGACCCCTTCAGCGTCACTAATATAGCTCTAGTACTATAGCCCGCGTACAGTTGCCGCAGGGCCTGCGGCAACTGTACGCGGGCTATAGTACTAGAGCTAGGTCACTAACGCTCAACGGGTCGTTGTCGTAACAGGTACTACAGATATGTACCCGAGGTACATATATGTATACACAAAGTGTACCAGACTTGTACTACAGAAGTGTACCCTAACCCTAACACTAACCCTAACCCTAACTCTAACCCTAGTCCTAACCCTAACCCTAAACATATACCTCATATACAAATATAAACATAATACTAAACAACCTAAAACTACCTCGGGTACATATCTGTAGTACCTGTTACGACAACGACCCTTCGTGCGTCACTAACAAACTGGCTATACTTTATATAGTACAGCTAGGCTTTTTCTATAATAAATAATAGCCATGTCGGTTTAAAGATAGAGATGATGTCCAGGACGGTGATAGGATAGGATGATGTTTATTACTGGACATCATGATGTCACAGGCCAACTGGCACTCTAGATATCTGGCACACTATATTTAAATTTGAATTTCACTGAATGTTACTGAAATTTATGAGGCTCTGATGAGGAAATGTGATTTGAGTTCTCAGCTAGTTTTGCTGAGAAGGTCTATGTCCCCCAGGGTACGGTCCGGTATACTGGAACGTACCCTGGTACTAAATACTACTATCTAATATGCCGGACCGTGCCTCGCCTACTCCACTAACGAGTCTAGGGAGTCGCCTACGCCTAGCTACTCCCTAACCCTAACCCTAACACTAACACTAACTCTAACCCTAACCCTAACCATATCAGCTAGATAGTTACCAGGGTACGTTTTGGTATACCGGACCGTACCTACGTTCCGGCAGTACCCTGAGGGACATAGACCCTATGAGCGCTAGACGTTCCGCAGCAGATATCCGCGCGAAGCGCGAACAGCGCCACCTGTGGCGCCATTTAGAACGAATACGCTGCTCCCCATTTCGAAACATTTCCATGGTTATGTAAAAACGGGGTGTTATCGGTCAATTCAGGAGTTGTGGCGCTTGGACAAACTTTTGGATTATGGACGTAGGGCGAGAATAACTCCAATGGTCGTAATTGGAATTGTTTTTGGTTGGCGCGTTAGTTGTTTTTGTACAAAANATAAAACGAAATAAGATAACCTAGAATAGGGTTCGTATTTGTCTAGATTGCAGTCATTTAGACATAATTATATATATTATATGAATACTTTATATAAACAGTGGACCGAACCAATATCCTACCAGCAACTAGCCCGACCAGGCTGTGCGACGGATTGTCTATATCCGACGTATTCTAACCCTAGCAATACCGTTTCTTGGAGCTAACCAGCAACAAGCACCTATTTTTCTTAAGAAAATAAAAACCTATTTAGGTACCTAAATACCCTAATTTCCCAGTAAACACCAATTATATAAGAACCTTTTTAGACTAACTTGGTAAAACGCAGGTTCTTATGTGTGGGTTTTTACTGTAGTGTAGTGGATATATGTTGACATAAAATGTGTCAGTGTAAAAGTTGACTAATCATTGTGACAGTCAATCAATCTTGCGTACTTCTATACAATATTACTTGAATACAGACATTGGGTAAGAAGGTAAAGGGTAGGTAAGGTAGCTTATACATTCCTACCAGGAGAAACAATATATTTCAATGCCATATCCATATGCTGAAATATTTGATTGCAGTTATTCACGAAAACTTCTGTCGCTCGATCAAAGCTGGCATCACAAACAAAGACCCGAAAGTGATCCTAACATATTATGTTAACTGCATACAGGAGTGTGGTTGTATGTATATATGATAATACAATTATTGGTTATGCATACTTTTGATTTCTTATTTCACATCTACAACCATAATTAGTATAGTGTCTGCATTCATCTCTTAGATTCTCACGTGATTCTTAGGTCTCAAAAATGTCTGATTATCACAGAAGAAAAAAAGTGCTAGATGATAATTACTCTTCCATTTTTTCCCTTTTTTAAACGTCCAACATGCGGCTACCATACTATTTGAAATAACAAAATCCATATGAGACGGGATACCAGAGAAGTGTTGCCGAAAGGAGGTGTTGATCCTAACCGCTGAGCGTGGATCTTGCGCGCAGTTCCGCGGCAATTAAAAATTAATACATCATGTGGCATCTCTATGATCTATGTGACCTTGCCTTATATCATATGCACCCCTAGTCCGCAAATGCAGACGTTATAACTGCACAATTGCTAATGTCAGGGTGCGGGTTTATCATCACCCCCATTACTGGGGTCTGCGTCGGCTCGCACTACTAGACTACTAGTAGTAGTACTCCTACTACTAGATACTACTATAGTACTAGAGCTACTACTACTAGTACTAATACTATATAGTATACAACTAGAGCTAGTACTACTACTAGCTCCAAGAAACGGTCTTTGCTAGGGTTAGAAGACCTGTGTAAACACAATTTGTTGTGTAGTGGAGTAAAGAGTGTTTATGGGGACACCACCATCTCTGTTGACCTGTGACGCAAGCATCCCCAATACGCACAGCGAGCGCTGACGCGTTAACGCAAAAAATAATCGCGAACGGGCGCTGGATGGAGTTTGGGGGGTTATAGCTAGACTGGTACCCGTTCGCCACCTTCCCTCAGGCAAGTATCCTTCGCTACACTGAAGTTAGTTAGTGTAGCGTGTGCAACTGTCGACAGGGTACGATTCTAGCCGTTAGGCCGGTTATAGCCGGTTATAGCCGGCCGAGCTGCAGGATACGAGGCTATATGCATATAGACTGGTACCCAGTCGACAGTTCGACATGCTACACTACGTCAGTGTAGCGAAGGATATATGCCGGAGTGAAGGTGGTGAACGGGTACCAGTCTACTATGCATATAGCCTCGTTGCGCCATCTATCGGACACCATATGTACTACACTGATGTACAGTCATGTCACAAAAAAGTGAAACTTCGTTTTTTACAGCAAACAAAGCGCACCGAGGAATTTTTGAGGCAAATTTCTAGAAAATGTCTAGCTAGAACTGCTCAATTCAGCGATTGCACGGCTTTTGCGTCTATAGTGGACCCGTTGAAATTGCTATTCAATCAGTGCAGCGTAGTTGTGTTAGTGTGCCGCTACGCGGCGTTTTTCGGGCTGCGCGCGATATCCGGGCTGCTGATCGTCTAGGTTGCCCAATGAAGATGCGTGCAGATGCTGGAACGGAAAACGTAGATGTTGCAAGTGTGCAAGCCTTCTTGAGAAAGGGAGGTAATGATGCATTCGCTGGCGATAAGTCGTTTCAGTATGGAAGGCCTACAGCCAATCAGGTATATTGAACATATATTGTAAACATTTATGTCATGTATAGTTTCATATCGCACAAAGATCAGTTTACGTGGTTTTTAGTGATATATCGGACAATCGCAGGAGTGGAACTTGATACATGCTGCTCTGTAATAAGGTGCAGATGCATTATACACCGATCACAATGATTGTTTAGTTTATATCGTTTAGGGGTCATAGGTCTCAACATGTAATATGGAAATTCAAATATTAGCCTGACCTGAACCCAACATGGTATTGATTGGTGCTTTGCAGCTCCTTGTACTGTTCATATTTGTTATAGCCATCACCCTCTGCTGCACGTTGCAATATGTCAAACAATATGTTTGCTATAAACTGTACTATTGTTTCAGAGAATCGAGTCTTTCTGGGCTCAGCTCATGAAGTCATGGACGAGATGGTGGAGGAGCTATTTCGCTGAAATGGTGGACCAAGGTCACTTGGATACAGGAAATATGCTACACAGGTGAGTACACTTATGTATCAGTCATCCTATGCATTTGTGTATTTTTGGCCTGTCTGAATGCAACTCACCCTTAGTTTCCACAATATTAGCACAGAATCTTAGAGAAAATAGACACCCTGACACAAGGGGGAAAATGCTATATAGTGTACAGGCCATTCAAGTTGCCAATTATATTCTATAGGGTCACTTTGACATTTTCCTTCCTGCCAATTATAAGGCAGGAATTGGATCAGCAATGCCGAGAGTGGAATAGCCATCGGATCAGGTTTCAAAAGAACTCTGATGTTCCAGCTGGCATTCCAAACCTCTTATATCTTGTTCCATAGGAAAGTGCTATGTACCTATAAAACTGGTATGTATATATATAATGGTATGTATATATAGTATAGTATAGTATAGTATAATGGTATAGTATATATGTGTATATACTATATATACATACCAAACTGGTATGTATATATATAATGGTATGTATATATAGTATAGTATAGTATAGTATAATGGTATAGTATATATGTGTATATACTATATATACATACCAAACTGGTATGTATATATATAATGGTATGTATATATAGTATAGTATAGTATAGTATAATGGTATAGTATATATGTGTATATACTATATATACATACCAAACTGGTATGTATATATATAATGGTATGTATATATAGTATAGTATAGTATAGTATAATGGTATAGTATATATGTGTATATACTATATATACATACCAAACTGGTATGTATATATATAATGGTATGTATATATAGTATAGTATAGTATAGTATAATGGTATAGTATATATGTGTATATACTATATATACATACCAAACTGGTATGTATATATATAATGGTATGTATATATAGTATAGTATAGTATAGTATAATGGTATAGTATATATGTGTATATACTATATATACATACCAAACTGGTATGTATATATATAATATATTATATACTAATATATAGTATATGTTACGTGATGATAATTTTGTCGACTTATATGTAGGGCTCCCCTACCAGGCGCCCGTCACCCCTACGCAGTCATAAACATGCTCCACACACGACGGCAGTTCGCGCCACGTACATAGCAGACATGAAACAATCGGGTCCACACATCAATCGACACTGCTGCTGGCCATAACACAAGTAGATCGTACGCACCAAACTGCATGCAGCACCCCCTTCGCACAACTCAGGATACCAGTGCCACAAGGCTGGTACTATTTTTCATGTGGGCGGAGCTTCGGGTTATTCCAGTGAATGGAAATCCAATAGCCGTGTATGATTTGAAAGTAGTAAATGGGCACACAATACGCGCACCAATTTCGTATCACTAGTTTATCAAATTTTTCCTAAAATAATGGACTAATATATTTCTGATGACGACTTACAGATGGGAAATTACTGTTGTTTGTATTACATGGGACCTGTCTGAGGGCGACGACTTGCACATAATGACGGCTTAGGCCGGGCTATTCCAATGGATTTACTATGAGAGAAAATCTGGACTTTGACTTCCATGACGAGTTGTGCGAATTGTTGAGTTAGACGATGACGACTTATGCGAGTTTTACTCTACTAACAAATGCATTAATGTCATGTTATTTTTGCCGTTAAATTCTCTGTTAAACCTTTTTAAGGTGGTACAGACATGCTGCAGGCAGTGAGGGAAGAAGATTTGCTCTGGGTGCAGCAGCACTTTCCACCTGCTGATATTGCCCGCACTGCCAGGGACACAACAATGGATGCATATTTCCACATGGTCATGCAAGTGAACAATTTTGTGCCCCCAACCACAGTTGCGGAAGCAAGAGCACGATACGAGCAATTACTTGCCATTGCTGAATAGAGGGTGCGACATTGTTGATCTGATCAACGCGTTCTGAGATCGCATATAGCATCAATATAGTAATTAACAGACTTCATATCATCTATTCTTGCCGATATTACACATGTAAACTATATGGAATTAATTATTTAATCATGTAACGTTACTTAACTGTTTTCACCGTGGTGGACATGCATGTCAAAATAATCAACGTAGACAGAAATGCAGAATGATACGCAAGTCAAACGTATATGTAACTACAGATATTATATACGCCTACATTTTTTCATTTCGATTTTGTATAAATGCTTTATACATATAAATCTTCTGAGTTATTCCTTCACTTGCCTATTTATGTCTTGCTTGCAAATAGTTGGTTTGTTTGCTTGTTTTTGTATTTTGATCGTGTATTACTAGTTTCTTATATGGTCATTCATTGACATAAATTGTAATATACGATGTATTTTTATATTTTATATATTTGAATTTGGTATCTTAATTTCAACAGTAAATATTCATGCAATTAAATTGTATTGTGTTGAATTTGGGTGAGTAAAGTCTGTCGCGAAGGATGGAAACCGACCTCGTCATCGCGTCTGTGTGAGGTAAGTACAGTGTGTGTAGTCGTGTCAAAATTATAATATCATTAATAAATTTGGACATTTTAGGCGGGCTCCCGTAAAACCTAGTAAACCTAAAAACAAGTAATGTCTAACATTGGACGAAATGTCACTCACTGCCAAAGTGACCCTACCACAGCATACATGGAATGCTGATCATGCCCATGTCTTCAACAGACAGTTGCATATCACTTCACCAGTGGGTCAACGGATGGTACTGTCTTCAAGGATATTGTCCTTGACATACTTCGACGAGCTTCAGACATTGGACTCCATGTTGAAGCAATTACAAGTGATATGGGGAGTGCAAACAGAGCGATGTGGAAGAGCTTTGGCATTGTGTGCGGAAAGCACTGCAGAACTGTCAATAGGATCCCCCATCCTGTTGCTCGTTGCAGATGGTTGTACTTCCTGGCTGATGTTCCACATCTGTTAAAGAATGTGAAGGCAGCACTCGTGAATGGGCATGAGTTTGTTGTATCGCAGACAACTGTTGCAGAGCACAATCTGCAAGGCAATGTTATCAATGTGCAGCCCCTTCATCTCGTCAAATTTCAGGAAGATCTGGATCTAAAGTTGGCTCCAAAGCTAACTGCAGCTTCATTGAGGCCTTCACATTTTGATAAAATGAAAGTGTCGAATGCACTAAGAGTGTTGAGTCATGAGGTAAGCTCTGCCCTAATATACCTTGTTAGTAAAGAAGGAAAATATGAAAAGTACCTCACTACTGCCTGGTTTATTGAGCTAATGAACCATTGGTTTGCTCTCATGAATTTGGTATCTTAATTTCAACAGTAAATATTCATGCAATTAAATTGTATGTGTTGAATTTGGGTGAGTAAAGTCTGTCGCGAAGGATGGAAACCGACCTCGTCATCGCGTCTGTGTGAGTAAGTACAGTGTGTGTAGTCGTGTCAAAATTATATCATTAATAAATTTGGACTTTTAGGCGGGCTCCCGTAAAACCTAGTAAACCTAAAAACAAGTAATTCTAACATTGGACGAATTGTCACTCACTGCCAAAGTGACTCTACCACAGCACACAGGGAATGCCGATCATGCCCTTGTCTTCAACAGACAGTTGCATATCACTTCACCAGTGGGTCAACGGATGGTACTGTCTTCAAGGATATTGTCCTTGACATACTTCAACGAGCTTCAGACTTGGACTCCATGTTGAAGCAATTACAAGTGATATGGGGAGTGGCAAACATAAGCATGTGGAGAGCTTTG